TGAAACTATTGATTTATAATGAGTAGTTTCCATCCAGTGCTGATATTTATTTATTTATAAATTCCGTTTATAGACCGCCCTCCCCTGTGAAACAAGGCTCATGGCGGTGTACAACAATTTAAGCCAAACTTTGATTCAGAAATGTACATTATAGCCTAAGATTTTGTCATGGCATATAATAAAAAGTAGGGCTGAGCAGTGCTACTTTCCCTTGGGGGTTTTGTCCCTCCCCTCCTTCTCCTCGTGTCTTTTAATTTCCCCTCATAACCCCTAAAGAGACCTATGTTTATGGTTCTTGTTAATGCTGGGATCTTGTTAGAGCCAGTGTGGTGTAATGATTACGAGCAGTGAACTCTCATCTGGAGAACCGTATTTGATTCCCCCCTCCCCCACATGAAGCCTGCTGGGTGACCTTGGGCCAGTCATACCGGTAGTTGTCTCAGAACTCTCACAGCCCCACCCACCTCACAAGGTGCCTGTTGTGTGGAGAGGAAGGCAATTGTAAGCCACTTTGAGACTCCTTTGGGTAGAGAAAAGTGGGGTATAAAAACAAACGCTTCTCTTCTTCTTGGATGGGAAACTTCCTGTGAACTCTATGCATGTCTCCTTGAGTCCCATATGGAAAGGAAAGTGTAATGAGTAGATTCTGTGCAGTGACTGGCCATCTCTTACTCAAAATGGGAACCAATTAGAACCAGTCTAGGGGATGCTCACTCTCTGCTTATCATCCCTACAGGTATCTATGTAGGAAGAAGAAAGATGTTATAGGTCCTATATTGCATACCATTTTAAGACTACAGCATGATGGTCTCTCTCAACAGTACTGTTTCCCAATGGTACAGCCTAACAAAATGATGCCAGAATTTCCTGAGTATCGTGTCAATTTCAAAAGCTCTCTAAGGTGATTCCAAGTAGCATCACATCCTTAAATTGGTCAGGGTGGTGCCTGGGCATTGACTAAAATTGGAATGATTCATCATTTCAACTCAATCAGCATCATCCCAATGCCTACATTTTTAAAAATCCTCTCTGGAGCCACTCATACATTTATAAAGGTAGAGTTGCTTTAATTAATTAATTGGAGGAATTGCATGTGACTGTACCTTTGGGTTGCTTTATAAAAAGTATTCCCTACATAGTTATAATTCCTGCTGTCTGGGAAAATGTGTATAAAATCTTCACTGAGAATACACACCTGACCGTTTCACTGTATACACATGTGACATAAGGCAATAATCGATGGCAGATTTCCATGATGGGTACATATGGTTCAATGTGTTATCATTTCATAAATGTGAGTAATATATGTGTAAGAACTTCATCTTGTGTAGAAACAATCCTTCTGAAGAAGGCAGAAGTAATTTGGGTATTGGGGGCACAAATTTTAATTCCACCTTTCATTATAGAATTTGTGAAAAATCTCTACTCATATCTGGAAAAGGTTATTTAAATTTAGGAAGTTCCACCTCCTTTGCTTATATGGAACTGCCTTTGTTTAAATGGACGGGAGCAGAAGAGGATGTCTGAGTGGTGTTTCTGGATTAGTGAGAAACAAATTGATGACTCCCAGAATTGTCACTACAAGACCTGTTATTATGGCACTTCCAGCCCACTCTTTTTTCCAAAAGTTGAGTTAATGCCTTTTGGGTCCAGCCCAAACAACCATTGTTATCTCTGACGTCCAGAAATATATATATTATATTTTGCCATATCCAAATAGAACTCTGTTAACAGTCCATCACATCATTAAACAACCTCTGTGTGTTTTCACACACAAAACTTAGATCAGCTTTATCTTAACTCAGTCTGTAACCTAAATGCACATTCAGCTTCTCTTCTGTGATCTGTCCCACATTAACAATGACAATAACAACAATCATATGTGGCACAAAGGAGGTGAGTTCCAGGAAGGGATTTTTGCAACTTTCCCCTTCCTGCCACCGTCTTGATGGTCTGGGGAGTCTCAGTAACAGCATAGGACACAGTGGGAAAGAAGAGGCAGCAAAAATCCTTTCCCTGAAATCTTTCCATTCATAGTTCTATAGGATCCAGTTCTTAAGACTGTAACCCTAAACACTGTTACCTGGAATCAAGATTTCATTGATATCCATAGGAGTCCTAAGTAGTGGGATGCTGGTACTATAAAGCTAAAGAAAGAGCTAGCAAACAGAATCCAGAGCATATAAACGGGCAACAAGTGAAAGAACATAAGAACATAAGAAAAGCCCTACTGGGTCCACCTAGTCCATTGGTCCACCTAGTCCAGCATCCTGTCTCACACTGTGGTCAACCAATTCCTCTGGACAGCCAACAACAGAGCATAGAGGCCGAGGCCTTCCCCTGATTTGCCTCCTGGCTCTAGTAGCCATTGATAGATTTATCCACTATGAATCTACCTAATCCTCTTTTAAAGCTGTTTATTCTTGTGGCCATCACTACATCCTCTGGCAGCAAATTCCACATTTTAATCACTCTCTGTGTAAAGCAGTACTTCCTTTTGTCTGTCTTGAACCTACTGCCCATCAGTTT